ATAAAACCTCATCTCAGAAATATAGACAGATACTGAAGGGCCGAAATGTTGTAATAAATATGGCAACAAAGATGAGGACAGATGTTCATACTTCATCTCAGAATTATAGACAGATTATTTATTATATATTTTTCCTCAAACGGAGTATATAGGTTCACCTATAATCCGGTTCACACAACTCCGCGGTCTTTTGGAGAGAATTGGAGATATCTGCCTATATCTTTGAGATGAGGTATTATGATTATTTAAATTATTCGAACTGTTATCGTCATCTTCATTGCCATGTTCACAATGTTTCAGCTGTTGTACGCTCCAGACTTCTTCAGGTGATTAGAATTTCGTTCACCGGGGGGAAACTGTTCTAGTTCCACGTGTCATGACTCTTCAGGATGACCCAGGTATTTCCTTTAACTTAACTCTTTAGGTTTTGGTTCATAACTCTTTGGGTCTATTCACTGGATTTAATCAACGTCTTTATCCACTGGGTCCTTGAGGACATCTGCGTATGAATTTCTGGGACTGATAAACCTATGTTTCAGCAATCATTTTTTACCAGTGCTCATATTGCATTTTTTATAATTCATATTTTACCAGTGCTTATATTGCAACTTTTGTTGTTATTCATTGATTTTCTCAATCATTATTACTGGTTCCTATATTGTATTCATTTCTATGCTTGGTCGGCTCAAGAGAATTTTGTGGCCTAGCATATGTGCTTATTCCTTAGGTCTTCGTATTTTCCAGTGATGCTCACTGTCTATTACTTCAACCTTATCCCACAGGAGGCGGTGATTTCCCTTTTCCCTCCATATGTGGTCAGCTACACCTGATTTTTATATTTCCCCTTGTGTTACTGTTAGATTAGAGATTTATATCATGTTTCCTGTTTAGGCTTGGGTTTCTGGTTCCATCTAAAGACTTTTTCATTGTCTTTCACTTCTAGTAGCCCTGCGTAGGCAGAATTGATTAAAACAAAAAAAAAATGATCTGTGTCTGGCTTACGGCCACATCAAGTTAAGCAACGTCGATTTTGGTCAGTACCTACAGTACAAAGCCAAAAAATGGACGCACTCATAGAAAGTTGATTTTATTTTTTATTTTTACCAAAACGAGTGAGAAATAGAATTCGTTTATTAATACAGGCTATTAATACAGGTGTTCATTCCTAACCCTAAATGAATTTAAATATAGATATGATTGTGGCATCATATTATATATATATATATATATATATATATATATATATTTCATCAACAGACAGACTGTTTTGGTGTATCACAGCTCATCAGTGTGGCTAGATATCCGATTGCCTCAAGCCGGGATCGAAACCTGATTGGTTTGGCATCAGCCGGATATTTATGGCGAAATCACTTCGCTAACAAGGCTTAATGAGACATTAACTTACTATCAATTCCTAGAATAATAATATCCTTATATTCGAGTTGTTGTCAGATGGAAAACACATGCCAAGTACTTTCAACAATTTCAAATTATAGTTGCATCTGTGATTAGAAAGTATCTGCTACAACCAGCATTACAAATACTTACAACGAGTATTCGTTGATACTACCAGACGAGAATCACGATCTATAGCAAATCTATACTAGATCCGAATAGTATAGAGGATAGACTAGAAATAGCGATCAATTAGACATCACGCAACCACCTACTTATGCGTTTCTCCCATGGTAACGTGATCCTTCTTCTTTTATGTGCCATGCGTGATATACACTTAGGCGATCATGTATCTTTCCATACATGACTGACGAGACAGATTTTTTTCCAGCAGTAGGTTGCTATTTCTTTCTGCGGTAGACCAGTTGCTATCCAATGGTATAGAACCCGGTCTGTCCTGCTAACTACCCATGGTGATGGTGGTGGGTTGAGAAGAGGATTCATACTTTTCCCAAGAGTATTAGCACGTAAGTCAGTCATTCAGTTACGTGTCATGCGTGATACACGCTTAGGCGATCATGTATCTTTCGATACATGACTGACGAGGCAGATATTTTTTTCCCGCAGTATGTTGCCATTTCTTTCTGCGGTAGACCACTTGCCATCCAAGGCTATAGAACCTGGCCTGTCCTGCTATTTACCCATAGCTGGGGGAATAAGAAGAGGATTCATACCTTTCACAAGGGTATTAGCACGTCAATCAGTCAGTTATATGCCATGCGTGATACACGTTAAGGCGATCATGTATCTTTCGATACATGACTGACGAGGCAGATATTTTTTCCCGCAGTAAGTTGCCATTTCTTTCTGCGGTAGACCACTTGCCATTCAAGGTTATTATAAGGTCTGTCTTGCTATTTAACCATAGCAATGCGGGGAGGGGCAGAAGAAAAAATTACCTGCGTATCGTGCCACTGGTTACCAAAAATGTAACATTTTTAACCTTTTCAAAACATTTACCTAAGTATAGTGCTTAAAATCTGACCATAAAAAAAGTCGCCTTATCCTCGAGTATACATGGTAATTATATGAGCGCGTGAAGAGGCGGGGACAAGTGGTGTAATAGCTAGCAAGGTTGGATTGCTGAATCAATTACAACAGAGGGCGCTCCTTACTTTCGGCTTTGGGGCAACATTTAAGCTACGCTCAGAAAACCACAATATGAAGAGGAGGAGGAGGAGGAGGAGGAGGAGGAGGAGAATATAAAAAGGTAAACGTTGGTTATCAATATGTATACGCTCGAAACGTATTTTAAATTAATAAACATTTAAATTTAAGTTTCACTCTTCGCCATTAGAAAAAAATATGGAGTCATATAAAAATAATGAAGAGAAAATAGAAACACCGCGTGTCATTCTTTGCGCTGCAATTCAATTATTTTTTGTTTCTTTTCTTTCACTATCTTTTTTTCTTTCTTCCTTTTTTTTTTTACAGGTTTTATTTATTTATTTATTTATTTATTACGGTCTATCTTTCTTTCTTTTTTTTTTTTCTTTTTTTTTTCTTTTTTTTTCTTTCGATTGTTCTTTCTTTTCTTTCTTTTCTTTCCTATCTTTTCTTTTCTTTTCTTTCTTTTCTTTTCCGTTCTTGTTGTCTTCTTTCCTGCCCCGTCTTTTCTTTCCTATACTTTTCTTTTCCTTTTCATTCCTTTTCTTTTCTTTTCTTTCTTTCTTTCTTATTTTATTTAATTCATTCAACTTTTCTTTCTTTTTTGTATATTTTTCTCATTTAAATATATCTTTTCTTTCTTTCTTTCTTTCTTTCTTTCACATCCGTTTTATCTTTGTTGTCATTTATCTTTCTTGCATTCTTTTCTTTTCTTTCTTCTCTTTTCCTTTCTTTGCTTTCTTTCTTTTTTCTTTTCCCTTGTCTTTTCTTTCCTATACCTTCCCTTTCTTTCTTTCTTTCTTTCTTTCTTTCTTTCTTTCTTTCTTTCTTTCTTTTCCCATATTGCCGTCATCTTTCTTGCCTCGCTTTTCTTTCCTATACCTTCCCTTTTCTTTCTTTCTTTCTTTCTTTCTTTCTTTCTTTCTTTCTTTCTTTCTTTCTTTCTTTCTTTCTTTCTTTCTTTCTTTCTTTCTTTTTCTTTTCCATATTGCCGTCATCTTTTCTTGCCTCGCTTTTCTTTCCTATACCTTTCCTTTTCTTTCTTTCTTTCTTTCTTTTCCGTATTGTTGTCGTATTTCCTGCCTCGTCTTTTCTTTCCTATACTTTTCCTTTCCTTTCCTATCCTATCGTTTTCTTTCTTTCTTTCTTATTTTATTTAATTCATTCAACTTTTCTTTCTTTTCTGTATATTTTTCTCATTTAAATATACCTTTCCTTTTCTTTCTTTCTTTCTTTCACATCCGTTTTATCTTTGTTGTCATTTATACTGCTTTTTATTTTCCTTCCTTTTTTCTTTTTCTCTTTTTTTTATGTCTTCTTTTTGCTTTGTTTTTTTATTTTTCTATATTTCCCTTTCTTTCTTTCTTTCTTTCTTTCTTTTCCCATATTGCTGTCATCTTTCTTGTCTCATCTTTTCTTTCCTATACCTTCCCTTTTTTTCTTCCTTGCTTTCATAAAATGTGTTTTTGTTTTTGTATTTCCTTCTTTCTTTCTTTCTTTCTTTCTTTCTTTCTTTCTTTCTTTCTTTCTTTTTTGCTTGTTTGTTCTTTCTTCTTTCTTTCTTTCTTTCTTTCTTTCTTTCTTTCTTTCTTGATGCTTGTTTGCTTAATCTCTTTCTTTCTTTCTTTCTTTCTTTCAGTCTTCTTATTTTATTTAATTCGTTCAGCTTTTCTTCCCTGTCTTTTCTCAATCTGTTTCTCATTTAAATATATCTTTCCTTTTCTTTCTTTCTTTTACATCCTTTTTATTTCTGTTCGTATTTACTCCCTTGCATTTTTACTTTCTTTCTTTCTTCCTTTCTCTTTCTGTATTGCTGTCTTCTTTCTTGCCTCGTCTTTTCTTTGCAATACCTTTCTTTTTCTTTCTTTCTTTCTTTCTTTCTTTCTTTCTTTTTTTTATTGCACGTTTATTTTTATTAAATTACACCTTTCTTTTTCCATCATTTTTTATTTATATTTTCCATTTATTATGCAACAACGGAAGGATTTAATTTCGTTTACCAAACCCTCTCCATTTCTTGTTTCCGGATTCCTTCCGGTTGACCTGGGCCGCGTCCATACATCGCCGGTTTTAACACGTGACGCCATCTTCGTCAACATCGCACGACAACGCTGTTTCCGACATCTCAAAACGAAGGAGAAGAAAGGTGGCAGATAATAAAGTAACAACAAGAAAAATAATATTTTGGAGGAGAAATTTGAAAATAAAATTAGGGAAGATGTGGGTTTTGTTAATTGTAATCGATGCTCAGATATTAAACATAAAAAAGTAAATAGAAAGAAGGAAGGGGAAACGTGGAAGGAAAATAAAAAGGAAAAAGAAAGAAAGAAAGGAAAACGATGACAAAAAGAAGGAGATCTAAATAAAACAAGGGAGGAAATAAAGAAAACAAAAGTAAAAGAGAATGAAATAAAGAAAAAATGATGGAAAAATAAAAATTAAGTAGGAGAGAAAGAAAAAGAAAGAAAAAAAGGAAGAAAGAAAAGGAAGGAAAGAAAGAAAAGGAAAGAAGAGAAAGGAAAGAAAGAAAAGGAAAAAAGGAGAGAAAGAAAAGGAAAGAAAGAAAAGGAAAGAAAGAAAGAAGGAAAAGAGAAGAAAGAAAAGGAAAGAAAGAAAAGGAAAGAAGGAAAAGGAAAGAAAGAAACAGAAAGAAAGAAAAGGAAGGAAAGTAAGAAACGTAAAAGGAAAAGGAAAGAAAGAAAAGGAAAGAAGGAGAGAAAGAAAAGGAAAGAAAGAAAAAGAAAGAAAAAAAGGAAAAAAGGAAAGGAAAGAAAGAAAGGAAAGGACAGAAAATGAAAGAAAGAAGGAAAAGGGAAGAAAGAAAAGGAAAGAAATAGAAAAAAAGAATAGGAAAAAATGAAATGGAAAGAAAGAAAAGGAAAGAAAGAAACGTAAAGAAGAAAAAGGAAAGAAAGAAAAAGAAAGAAAAAGAAAGAAAGAAACGGAAAAAAGAAAAGGAAAGAAAGAAAAAGAAAGAAAAAGAAAGAAAGAAAGAAAAAGAAAGAAACGGAAAAGGAGTGAAAGAAAAAGAAAGAAAAAGAAAGAAAAGAATGAAAAACTTTAAAAAATAAAGAAGTAAATCTAAATAAAATGCGAATAAAGAACGAAGGAAAAGGAAAGGAAAGAAAAATGAAAGAAAAAAAAACATGGAAAAACGAAAATTAAAGAAAATTAAGAAAGAAAGAAGCAACAAACAAAGAAAAAGAAAAAAGAAATAAAAACTGTATAACAAAAAAAGAAAGAAAGAAAGAAAGAAAAAGAAAGAAACACTGTATGTAAAAACGAGAAAGAAGTAAATCGAAATAAAACGAGAATAAAGAAGGAAAGAAAGAAAGTAAACAATAAAAGAAAGACAACGACGGAAAAAAACGAAAATTTAGAAAGAAAGAAAGAAAGAAAGACTGTATGTAAAAAAGAAATGAGAAAGAGTTACAAAAAAAAGAAAGAAAGAAAGAAAGAAATGATGAAAAAGAAAAAATAAAGAATAACGAAAGAAAGAAACAATGTTGGAGAAATATATGAAAAAGAAAAAACTGATCATAACAAAAAAAAGGGAGAAAACACGATATTCAAAGATAAACGATAAGCTGACAAAAGTTATTTATTTCGTAATAATGATAATAATAATAATAATAATAATAATAATAAGAAGAAGAAGAAGAAGAAGAAGAAGAAGAAGAAGAAAAGAAGAAAAGGAAGAAAAGAAGTAATTTTAGAAAATCGTTGTGTCTTTAAAACTGCAAAATTTTCTCTATCAACTTCGAAAACGTCCACTGCACCCAACGGCTACTCCCTCCCTTAAATCCGTTTTCGTCTAATTCTTTACAATCCACCTGAACAGAGGAACTTCCGGTGTGGGTTGCATAGGCCAACACACGGGACACCGTCAGGGAATCAATTAAACAAACAGTCGACCAGAAAAGTATTTTGACCGAACGTGTGCGCATGTGCAGAAACGATTATACATGCGCAAATGTGCAAACAACATCCTTCACAAATATTGACCTGGCTAAACGTTTTCGATTTTTTTTTATTCTGTAATCAAGTTGTCTTCTTTTTTTTATATTCTGTAAATCAAGTACTTCTGTAAAGCCCTTGATTATTGTTGCTACATCCATGTTCTGTAATTCCGCTGATAAAGACATGCGTATATATCCCAAATACTGGAGAGCCGTCTTCAAGCCAGTAGGTCCACCTTTTTGTAAAGGGCGGTTGGTTCAGAGGTATTTCCTGGTACCCGGGGTTAATAGTGATTTTCCAAGCGTAGCTTAGATGTGGCACAAGGCCGAAAGTAGAGGGCACCCAGTGAACATCGAACTCACTACTCAGTAGTAATTGTTCTAGCGAGACAAGCTTGCTAAGCTTTATACCGCCTCGAGGTATAAAGTAGTGATTTTCCAAGCGTAGCTTAGGTGTGACACAAGGCCGAAAGTAGGGGGCACCCAGTGAGGATCGAACTCACTACTCATTCGTAACAAGCTTGCTAACTATTATACCGCCTCGAGGTGCCCAATAGTGATTTTCCAAGCGTAGCTTAGGTGTGGCACTAGGCCGAAAGTATGGGGCACCCAGTCAGGATCGAACTCACTACTCATTCGTAATTGTTCTAGCGAGACAAGCTTGTTAACCATTACACCACATCGAGGTGCCCAATAGTGATTTTCCAAGCGTAGCTTAGGTGTGGCACAAGGCCGAAGGTATGGGGCACCCAATGAGTTACCTGGGGTAATATGTTGGTGGTACAATTGTCATTTTTCACAAAAAAGAAAATGAAGCAATTTTGGGATATCAGGGCTGAAGCAACTCATACTTTATTTATTGGTCTTGAAAAACTTCAGAATCGGTTACGTGGTCTTGTGGGGGGGGCAATATCTCTTCATTCTTCATCCTCTTTCCAACAGACACAAGTTCTCAAACATATTGTTATCCTCTAGCTATTTCAGTGGTAAATATTCAGACGAACTCTATTGCAGCTCCCCAAGTTCAGACCTTTACATTTACTTGCAGTACTCCTGATCTTCATATTTACTTGCGCAAATCCAGATCTTTACATTTAGTTGCACAAATCCAGATCTTTACCTTTTTTTTCCACAAGTCCAGATCTTTACATTTAGTTGCACAAGTCTAGGTCTTTACATTAGTTACACAAGTCCAGATCTTTATATTTAGTTGCACGAGTCCAGATCTTTATATTTAGTTGTGCGAGTCCAGATCTTTATATTTAGTTGCACGAGTCCAGATCTTTATATTTAGTTGCACGAGTCCAGATCTTTATATTTAGTTGCACGAGTCCATATCTTTATATTTAGTTGCGCGAGTCCAGATCTTTATATTTAGTTGCACGAGTCCAGATCTTTATATTTAGTTGCGTGATTCCAGATCTTTATATTTAGTTGCACGTATCCAAATCTTTATATTTAGTTGCGTGAGTCCAGATCTTTATATTTAGTTGCGCGAGTCCAGATCTTTATATTTAGTTGCACAAGTCCAGATCTTTATATTTAGTTGTGCGAGTCCAGATCTTTATATTTAGTTGCACGAGTCCAGATCTTTATATTTAGTTGCACAAGTCCAGATTTTTACATCACTTCTACTTCCACGCAGTCGAATCATCCTCATTTCCTTCCTATTTCAAAGGTAAGCAGAAAATTTCAATCAGCGTTTTCTCAAGAACTTCCGTTTGTATGCTTTTCTGAACGTTACAAACTTAAACATTTGATGTCAAGGTTCAATCATCGCCTATCCTCCTAAGCTATATTAGTTTCCCAACCATGTCCTGTTTTATTCATATCATACACATAATAAACATTTTAACAGTAATATTCTACCTTGAGAGGCTATCGCGCCTTGGTTTTGGTGAACTTAAGTATAAAAAATATAGGAAATTTTGCATTCGCCTACCAAGAATGTGCTTATGATCTTGCATAAAAAATAAACTTTCATCATTTCTTATCCAAGCTTATTTTCTTTCGAAATCTTTAGTAAGGATCTATTCATTTTATTTATAATAAATTTGCGATACTTTGAGGTCATTGAAATAAATCCCTGTAATCATTTTCATAATAAGAGATTGAGAGAGAGAGAGAGAGAGAGAGAAAGGGAGTGAGAGATAAATGAACACACTGTGATATATATATATATATATATATATATATATATAGAGAGAGAGAGAGATCGGAGAGATAGATAGATAGATAGATAGATAGATAGATAGATAGATAGATAGATAGATAGATAGATAGATAAGAAAATTTAGATAGAGAGAGAGAAAGAAAGGGAGAGAGAAACATGAGCGAAATAAGATAGATGGAAAGAAAGAAAAAAGAAAGAAAGAAAGAAAGATGATCAAACAGAGATAGATAGATAGATAGAGAGAGAGAGAGAGAGAAAAAAAAAGATAAGCGAAATTAGATAGGTAGATAGATATGAACAGACCTAGATAGATAGATCCCTTGCAGTAAAGGAAGGATTTAATAGATTCTACAAGCGGAGAATAAATAAGAATGCGAAATGAGAACGCCCTTATGCGATATGAACACATTGAGATAGATAGATAGATAGATAGATAGATAGATAGATAGATAGATAGATAGATATGAACAGACTGAGACTGAGAAAAAGATAGATAGATAGAGAGAGAGAGAGAAAGAGAGAGAGAGGGAGGGAGGGATAAACAGATTGATTGATTTTTGTTGTCTAAGAAGGCGTAATGTAATCCCTTGCTGTGAAGGAAGGATTTAATAGATTTCACAAATTATTTCGGAGGGTAGAGTAGAAAACCAGAAAATAAAGGAAGCGAAGAATAAAGTAAGTAAGCGTGATGAGATCGCTCTTATGCGATATGAACAGCCTGAGATAGATAGATAGATAGATAGATAGATAGATAGATAGATAGATAGATAGATAGATAGATAGATGTGAACAAACTTAGATATGAATAGATAGATATTAAGAAGAAGAAGAAAATTAAGATACATCAATAAATATAGATAGATAGATAGATAAATAAACAAACTTATATACAAGGATATGTACAGATAGATATATAAACAAACTTAGATAAAGGATATGAATAGATAGATAGATAGATAGATAGATAGATAGATAGATAGATAGATAGATAGATAGATAGATGAACAAACTTATATACAAGGATATGTACAGATAGATATATAAACAAACTTAGATACAAGGAGATAGATAGATAGATAGATAGATAGATAGATAGATAGATAGATAGATAGATGAACAAACTTATATACAAGGATATGTAAAGATAGATAGATAGATAGATGTGAACAAACTTAGATATGAACACATAGATAGATATGAAGAAACTTAGATACATCAATAAATTTAGATAGATTGATAGATAGATAGATAGATAGATAGATAGATAGATAGATATAAACAGACTTAGATAGATAGATAGATAGATAGATAGATAGATAGATAGATAGATAGATAGATGAATAAACATATATACAAAGATATGTACAGATAGATATATAAACAAACTTAGACACAAGGATATGAACAGATAGATAGATAGATAGATGTGAACAAAGATATGATCAGATAGATAGATATGAAGAAACTTAGATACATCAATAAATTTGGAGAGATAGATAGATAGATAGATAGATAGATAGATAGATAATGACCAGGCGATGATATATAGCTGGGGAGATATCAAGCGTTGGCAAACTGTAGCGGATACATAGGCGAGGGCTGGCTGGAACTTCATTTGTAAAACATTATACAACAGCTGGTGACTCCTGCTCGCCTGAAATGAACGGATAATTTTTTTTTTCCACGGCTAAAAATCCCGGGCTGCTTCCTAACTTGAAATTCAATAAATGCAGTCACGTTAATATTGGTCTGGGAATGATGGATTATGAGCCTTTATGGCTGAACAGTTTGTTTAAAATGTCCATTCTCTCCTAGCTGCCACACTAATCTTACGACATTTAAGAACGTAATTCTATAATATCCAAAAATTGTTACGACCGCGCTACCGATGTCCACATTGAAGCTAGCCCGCATCTCCTGAACATCTCATATATATATATATATATATATATATATATATATATATATATATATATATATATAGTAGTAGTAGTAGTAATCTTATAAGAAATTATACTCGTTCGAAAACCTTCGGTGTCTTGATTTGCGAATAATCAAACCAATACCAAAGAGGGAAAAAAGGTATAAGAAAAAGAAAGAACCAAGAACATGTACGTTAGCCGAAAATAATCGTCTAGCATGCAAGTCCAAAGCCCAAAGAAAAAAAACCGATACGAGTAAGAAAAATAACTAAATAAAGTGCTCAATACATTAAGTAGACGATCCTTGGTAGGTTTGTCTGGCTCTCTAGGTTTAACTATATATATATATATATATATATATATATATATAATATTAGTAGTCATTATATATATATATATATATATATATATATATATATATATAATCGACTCTCCCGTCGCGTTCGACGTATGAGGGTCAGGCCGATAAGTCCCCAGGAAACCGACAACCCGACACCGGCACATGAGATTTGATTATAGTGGTGAATATATATATATCCCTACCACACACTAAGACATACACAGAACGCACACACTCCAGTAAGCTGAAAAATCGAATCATCCTTGATAATGGCTAAAAGTATAGCCGAAAGCGCTCGGAAATATAAAACATTTGGACAGTTTTTATACACCCTTTGTCCAGAAAAAAAAGAAAGCTCTTGTCAGAACACAAGAAAAATTAAATAAAAAAGCTTAACCGTAGTACCTTGTCTGTCGTTTTTAAAGAAACATGCATATATATATATATATATATATATATATATATATATATATATATATATATATATATAATAAATATAAATTCCCAAGAGGGTAGAATCAAGGTAGAACTCAATGTCCAGAACACAGTAAGAATATAATATAAAAGGCTCAAACACTAATATTCCATGGTTATAATTTATTACATTGGAATCGTAATCATGATCCAATTCATCAGACCAACAAATTCAAATTATGTTTTTTACACCCGGAGTTATATTTTCCGATTTCTTTTTGAATTTGTAGATCTGATGAATCGGATCGTGATTACGAATCCAATGTAATAAATTATAACCATGGAATATATATATATATATATATATATATATATATATATATATATATATATATATATATATGTGTGTGTGTGTGTGTGTGTGTGTGTGTGTGTGTGTGTGAAAAGTTTGTGTATATAAATATAAATATATATATATATATATCATTTATATATTATATGCGGTACTTATTAGAAAGCGCTCAATATCAGAGATAGAGCTAACATATTTGGTTGATTGATGTGAGTTTGATCGTCAGACAATTGTCTGACGATCGCAAAAGCTCTGAAACCCAGGGTCACAAACCCACATCATCCAACCAAATATATATATATATATATATATATATATATATATATATATATATATATATATAAAGAAACATATCTTCATTCAAGCATGTTTTATTAAATAATATAGACATATAGTATTTATTCAAAAACTATAACGTAAACATGTTATAAGATCACTACAAAAATAGCCATTTTGTTTCAACACTTCCGGTGTCTAGTCAAGTGATGGTGTTGATTCCAGAATAAAGAATTCAAAAAGTTCAAAACCAACAAAACTCATCTCAATAGGGTAAAAATTGTTACGTAAGCACCAACGACCAATCAAAAGACAAGTATATGATAATTCAAAAAAGTTGTCATCAAACCTAAATATAATTAATCAATGCCTTAATGTAAATGTTAAACTAAATTAGAAATTATTACAACTAATTTTTAATTACACGATAACATTAAAAAAATAAAAATTACAAATTTAAATTATAAATTTACGCTTAGTTTAAAATATTATATAATTATTCAAAGAATTAAAGTAGCAGAGTATATATATTTTTATTTTTTATTTATTTATTATTTTCATCGAAAAGCCCGATTTTAAGTTAACACATTAACTGCCGAATTTTTAATGCGCATTTTGGGCCCAGACAGGTGTCTTAGGAGTTTATTTATTCCTTATGTTTAATTTCAGTAGTTACCATTGTCGTTTTTATAGAAACTAAAACATAAAATATATATGTGTATAAAACATCAAAAAATAATATTGATTAGAAATAATTAAAAATACTTTTCAAAATAGTCATTATTTTTCTACTTGTGAAATGTAAAATTACAACAGAAAGTGTTTTCTTACGGCTAATAATAAAAAAACTTTAAAGCTAAGTGTTGTAAAATATACCTCTGCAAATGCAATATATGTAAGCAATTCAATGTAAATACAACGAATAACATGTAGTGAGTTTAATTTTAACAGATCCCCAAATGGAGCTCATGGCAGGTAATGGATTAAAGTCGACGCTAACATAAAGGGGTTCAAATGTCGTTAAAACCTTAGATACACTTGAAAGGATTTGAATTCAGATGATGGAGGGAAGGCAGACACAATCATATTCTAATACACCGACACGTAAATATATTTAAATATATATACACGCAAAAAGACGGACGACACAGAAAATAGACGCACGCCAAAGAAAATAATAGCAGAAACATTTTCTTATAGTTGAAAGCATATACAAGAGATCACACACCTATATTCAGTCAGCCAGTTATGTGCCACGCGTGATACACGCTTAGGCAATCATGTATCTTTCGATACATGACTGACGAGGCAGATTTTTCTGTGGTAGACCAGTTGCCATCCAAGGTTACAGAAACCGGTCTGTCCTGCTATTTACTCATAGCTGAGGGGAGAAGAAGATGATTCACACCTTTCCCAATGGTATTAGCACGTCACTCAGTCAGTTATGTGCCATGCGTGATACACTCTTAAGTAATCCTGTATCTTTCGATACGTGACTGACGAGGCATATTTCTTTCTGAGGTAGACCAGTTGCCATCCAAGTCAATAGAACCCCGTCTGTCCGGCTATTTATCCATAGCTCCGGGGAGAAAACGATTCATCTCTTGCACAAGAGTATTAGCACGTCAGTCAGTCATGCAGACACAAAAAACAAATTTTTACTACGTTACTTAAAAATCGAAAACTGAAAAGAATAAATACAAATAAGCAAAATAATATAAAAAACAATAAAATGAATTAACCCAAGAAAATAATAAACAAATTAACAAACCAATCGCGCCAAAATAACCGTTAGAAAACATTACAACAACCAATCCAAAAATTGGACGTAAAACTAGCTATAACTACTATATAACAATAAAAAACATTAATACATTACTTAAAAATCGAAGACCAAATGGAATAAATAATGAATATGCAAAACAAAAAAATAAGTAAATAAATAAAAAACAAATAAAAATTAATCCAAATAAATAAATAAAAAAAAACAAATTAATAAATCTCCCCCGCAAAAATAACCATTAGAATTAATTAAAAAATAAGCATAAATAAGCAAAAACAAGTAAAACTAATAAATCCAAATAGATAAATAAATTAAAAACTGTCCCCACCCCCGCCAAAATAACAGAATAGACTATGGTAAGCAATCTAAACATTGAACGAATAAATTAATTATCTTTCCAGACCAAGACTAATTATTAAATCAGAGACCTAAGCAAATCCATTGCCCAATTTTTTTTTTACAATAATAAAAAATCAAAAACTGAAAAGAATAAATGAGACAAAATGAAAAACAAATAAATTAACCCAAATAAGTAAATAAACAAGCAACTCCAGGAAAAAATAGCCGCCATAATAAATTACCCACAATGCACCACTGACACATACATATAAATAGACGAGGAAAAATCCAACATTCGCGGCCTGACGGTTTCGCCCAGCATGAAACATCCCGTCGCCTCTGAGTGTTGACTTAAATGTTCACTTTATATATGTATATGTATATATATATATATATATATATATATATATATATATATATGTGTGTGTGTGTGTGTGTGTGTGTGTGTTTATTTAGCAGCAATTTTTCATTGATGTATGTTTCATTAAATAATATAAACAAGTTTTATCTATTTATTTTAAGTAAGTTCCTATCATTAACATTATCATTGAATATATATATATTATATATATATATATATATATATATATATATATATATATATATATAATCATTATATATATATATATATATATATATAATCATTATATATATATATATATATATAAAATAAAACGTTATGTAATTTCGGTAGGTTGTTTTAGATTTCAGCAGCACTAAGCGCCTCTGATATAAAAAAAAAGCCAAACAAACGGGTTGACGGTTACTATTTTCATTTTAGACAATGAGTAGGTTATCTAATTTAATTCGATTTAAGGTCATCAATTATCTTCAGAGATCCCAAGGCACTTTCATCACATATATATTGGTCTTTCATTCATTCTAACCTGAGGAAGCCAAAGAGAACAGACGCTCTCAGCGAAATGCGTCGTTAATAAATCTTCCACTTTGTCTCAATTGCTTCACACACGCACACACATACATACATATATCTATATATATCTATATCTATCTATCTATCTATCTATCTATATATATATATATATATATATATATATATATATATATAGGTTTTTATGGTACACAATTTAATGATAGCTAGGAATAAGTAAAATTTATATGGCATTTTAAAAAGCTAAAAAAAACAACCGGTTTCGTCCCAGCCTTATCAAGTTTATTTCTGGGATATATATATATAAAAATAAACATGTAAATTTAACTGATATTAATGATAAGCAATGAGGGGGGTGAATTTCAAGAAAGCTAGCGTCCAATAACAGTAAGCATTTCCTCTGTTTACAAAGGGGAGGCCCACGGGATCTGATATACAAGGACTCTAGAACCTTGAGGTGATATGAGGAGTTGGACCTCAATAAAACAGAAAAACGGTCCACCCTAAAATCAAAAACACAATTCCTACTATTTATAACATGCTCTGCAATAGAAGAGCCAGAATTATTGGTTAGTTGGCTTTTCCTGGCATCCGGATTCAAAATCCTGGGGGGTTAAGTGTTGCTTTATTCTCAGATCCAAACGTACTAAGCTAAGGTTCAAAGTGTATTTTTAAAAAATGAAAAAAATCTTTTTTGAAAACTTTATTTTATTTTAATTCAAACTAAAAGATTAAATTTAATATTACCAATATATCATGTATTTAAAACAGAATTTAAATTGAGTGGAAGGATTTTTTTTTTATTATCAGTAAAAACGCTAAAATCGTTCATATTGACAAATAAGGTCAAATATACTTTTCGGAAAATTTATTTGAGAAATCTTGGCTCATGAAAATTTTAATTCATCTGATTTAAAACAAGTAAACAAATAGTACATACTTTTAATTTAAAATATCATTTTTTTAACAAGGTGATGTGTATTTTTATGGGGTGTTGGTAGTCTTATATTAGGAATTTTTTCTAAGGGTGACATAACTCAAATAATTACGTGACGAATATAACGTGAATATATATATATATATATATATATATATATATATATATATATATATATATATATTATATATTTAGCTATTAATTTTAAAAAATCTAAAAGAATAAATAATCGAATATTTTACTGAATTGTAAATGCAAGTTACGTAAACACTTACTGAAGACATTTTAATTTTATTAGAGTTGCCGTTTTTCTTTTCTTGTTAAATATCTTGTTTGGACATCCATATTTACAAAGACCGAAACTTTCATGCACTTATAAAATCGATTTAAAATTTCTTTTAAAATATTGGAGGGGGTCGCTGAAATGTAATAAGCTTTTCGATTTATGATTAGAAAATATATTTTTTGCATAATGACAATTAATACAACATTTTAAAAGATTTAAAATTTTATAGATTATTTTAATTAATTTTTTAAAAAATCTTGGAAACAATTTCATAAAAGTTCATTATTCTTAGCTTTATCGTATTTTTATAGATAGATAGATAGATAGATAGATAGATAGATAGATAGATATAAATAGACTTAGATAGATAGATATAAACAGAATTTTCATTATTCTTGGCTTTATCGTATTTTATAGATAGATAGATAGATAGATAGATAGATAGATAGATAGATAGATAGATAGATGTGAACAAACTTAGATATTAACATAGATAGATATGAAGAAACTTAGATACATCAATAAATTTAGATAGATATAAACAGACTTAGATAGATAGATAGATAGATAGATAGATAGATAGATAGATAGATATAAACAAACATAGATAGATAGATAGATAGATAGATAGATAGATAGATAGATAGATAGATAGATAAACAAACTTAGATACAAGGATATGAACAGAAAGAAAGAAAGAAAGAAAGAAAGAAAGAAAGAAAGAAAGAAAGAAAGAAAGAAAGAAAAATTCTCGACTCGATGTCCGTCCTAAAATCTGGCCAAATGACCAAACTTTTCCATTTTGTTTCATGACAGACTTTTCGGTGAAAATGTCGGAGTTGAGGGAAATTTCTGTTTCCAATTGTCCCATATTGGAGCAGACATCTGGCCGGGATAATTTCCCATATGTTACTTGTCACTTGTAACATGCTGTGTCCGATGGTGGCTGTGTGGTCTAAAAGAATGGATTATTTTGTGAAATGTAAAGAAAATTGGGGAACAATAGTAATAATAAAATGTTTAATTTAGCCGAAATTATGAACGATCAATTATTCATAGCTTTTTAAATAGATGACTATGGAGACAATTATCGTCAGAAAATAATAAAAGTTTTTTTTTTTTTTTTTCACTTGAGAGAACAACAAGATCAGCGAATACAAACCAGCGGCGCGCTCTATATATCTTATATATAATGCTCAAAACCATATGTGTGTCCGTCTCCGATCTGGAAATTAATTTAAAATGTAACGTCGACCAAATCTGCTACAGCTTAGATCTAAATTCACGTACGGATGTCAGGGGCGACGCCCAACTCTTTCAAGGTCTAAACCAGTTTTACCCGACATGTTTTTTTTTTGTTTTTTTTTCATTAGGTCAAATTTTCGGAAGTTACTCGCGCCTCAGCAAATTTTATGTGATAAATAGTATATTATATTTAGTATATTATATTTAGTATAGTATATTATATTTAGTATATTATATTTAGTATATATATTATTTTAGTATATAATATTTAGTATATTATATTATATTTAGTATATTATATTTAGTATAGTATATTACATTTAGTATAGTATATTTAGAAATTAAAAAAAAATAGACAGAGTGTTAATGAGAGATAACAGCGAATTCGAAGTCAGAATATTATCATCGATAACTCTCTCCTCCAATTTGCAGACCCTAGTTACAATATTCTTAATATTTGATATAAAGCAAAAAAAATATCACACTGATAAAATCAGTCTATATTTCTGAGATGAGGTATGATGTACATTATTTACATTATTCGGACTATTGTCCTCATCTTTGTTGCCATATTTATTACAACGTTTCGCTCCTTCAGTATCTGTCTATATTTCTGAGTTGAGGTATGATGTACATTATTTACATTATTCGGACTATTGTCCTCATCTTTGTCGCCATATTTATTACAACGTTTCGGCCGTTGTACGCTTCGGCCTTCTTCAGGGCACATAGCACAGTGGATAAAGGCGTTGGTTAGACCCAGTGACAGGACCCAAAGTGTGTGAGTTCAATACCCGGTTAAGGCAGTGGATAACTTTCAGGGGGAAATTAACAGGATAACTGATAACTGACATCCATTAAACATGGCATGTGGAACTAGAACAGTCAACCCCAGTGAGCGAAATAAAGGATTCAGTTCGACATTCCAGCCACCTGAAGAAGGCCGGAGTGTACAACGGCCGAAACGTTGTAATAAATATGGCGACAAAGATGAGGACAATATTCCGAATAATGTAAATAACGCTGATAAAATCAGTCAATAATTATTTACGCTGGGACTAATGCATGCAACTTATCATTGATAATTCTCTCATCAAATTTGCGGACATTAGTTACTATATACTTAATACTTGATATAATGCAAAAAATATCCCAATATTAAAATCAGTCAGTAATTATTTCTAACTATTTATACTAGGACTCATGTATGTAATTACAACTAATCCATAATAATATTTTAAATTTTGAAATCATATTTATTTTTGGTATATGAATTTTTTTAAATCTCTTTCTAAATGTTTGGTTTTCATCGCGTCTCACCTGCTATCTTCTTTCGTCGCACATCTGAGGCGCGCCGATCTATCTATCTATCTATCTATCTATCTCAGAATGTTCTATCTATCTATCTATCTATCTATCTATCTATCTGTCTATTTCAGACTCTTCGTATCTATATATATATATATATATATATATATATATATATATATATATATATATATATATATCAAATTCTTCCTATCTATCTCTATATCTATCTATCTATCTATCTGAGACTGTTTCTGCATCTATCTATCTATCTATCTATCTCAGAATGTTCCTATCCATCTATCTATCTCTCTCTCTCTCTCTCTCTCTCTATATATATATATATATATATATATATATATATATATATATATATATATCTGAGACTGTTTCCTATCTATCTATCTATCTATCTATCTATCTCAGAATGTTCCTATCTATCTACGTCAGACTGTTCGTATCTATCTATCTATCTATCTATCTATCTATCTATTCATCTATCTATCTCAGAATGTTCCTATCTATCTACCTCAGACTGTTCGTATCTATCTATCTATCTATCTATCTCACTGTGTTCATATCTATCTATCCATTTCTAAGATATTTTTCATCAGAGCCCCACATAATTCCAGGCTCCAATGCTTTCATGTCTGTTTGAATGTTAATCTCATGTTGTTGGACAATCTGTGGCTTGTTGGTATGAACCTTTTCATTTGGATAGGAACAATAGGAGGAACTCTAGGCTTGTCAGATCCGTGGAAACGTGTTCGCCAGTTGATGCCTCACCTGTGCGAAAATCTGCCTGAGAGGCTGAATTTGTGGCGCTTGTTGTATGATCTGTTGCCGCATGTAGTTGTATGGAAACAGGTTGATGCATTTAAAAAATTCGTTAGGGTGACGTCCGAGAGATGCAAACCTGTCGAAACTCTCTTCGAGTTGATGCCCTCGGATCGTTTTTGATACTCTCCCTTATTTGTTCAAATACCCCCACTTCGTTCGTAATAGAATGCTGTATAGCATTTCATTGAAAGTCAGTTATTGAACCTTTACTCTCAAAATTGGAGAATATCTCACATCGTAATGGCGACGATATGCTCGTTGCGTTTGAAGTTTTGATAGCGTGTTTTTTTAATAGAAAGTTTTCACTATTTGTGTCCGCTTTCCAGTCGTGTCTTTTTACACGTTTCATTTCCAAAGGCTTCTTTGTAAAATACGTAAGAGGAAAAAAGAGTTAATAAACAAAAAACTTAGGACACCTTATATTTTTATCATTCATTCATTCATTCATTCTTTCTCAGCCTGTTCATATCTATCTCTGTATATATTCCTTCCTCACTACCTTCTTTCTCAGTCAATTCATATCTATCTATCTATCTATCTATCTATCTATCTATCTATCTATCTATCTATCTATCTCAGCCTGTTCATATCTGTTAATCTATCTCAGTCTGTACATTATCTATCTATCTATCTATCTATCTATCTATCTATCTATCTATCACATTTTTTTCATATCTATCTATCTATCTATCTATCTATCTATCTATCTATCTATCTCACCGTGCTCATATCTATCTATCTATTTATCTATCTATCACAGTTTATAATATTTATCGATCTATCTTTCTAGCTACCTATCTATCTTGCTATTTCAGCCTGTTCATATCTACCAATCTATCTATCTCAGTCTGTTCATTATCTATCTATCTATCTATCTATCTATCTAATTATCACATTTTGTTCATATCTATCTATCTAATTATCACATTTTGTTCATATCTATCTATCTATCTATCTATCTATCACATTTTGTTCATATCTATCTATCTATCTATCTATCGATCTATCTATCTAATTATCACATTTTGTTCATATCTATCTATCTATATATCTATCGTTCTTTCCGTCCTTCCTTCCGCCCTCCCTCCCTTCCTTCAAATGAACGTGTCATTTTTCTTTCCCCGTCTAATCTTGATATATATTCTGATATTGTAATATATATTCCTTAGGCCGTATTTTTTTTGTCTTTCTTTTTCCTAAAACTCCCTCCCTCCCCCGCTCTCTCTCTCTCTCTCTCTCTCTCTGGCCCATTCAACTTCTTCCCCACCCCAGACTTTTCAGCCAACGCCCCGTTCCTGCCCCATTCTCCCTTAATCTGTAAATAATCCTCCTTTCCGACCATCTCAACTATCCCTGGCGACTTCTACCACAGGACGGATAGCCTTCCCACTATCCCACCGCCAAAGCTTCGCGGTGACCGGACCCAATACGGAATGATCAATCGAAACGAAATGACACAAAATTCTCATAAAACAAACAACTGCAAACACATGTGACGCCTCGAACTGTCCAATCAGATTCAAGAATCATGGTGCATACTCCTACCACCATTACCACCCTAATTTCTCTCTTTCCATCTCTATCTATCTCTTTCTTTCTCTCTTACTCGCTTACTATTTTTCTCTGCACGCCTTGTACCTCTATCTCTGTCATTCCTCTCTCCTTCTCTCTCCCTCTCCTTCTTTGCTTTGCTTTTTTTTCTATCAGTCACCTCTCGTCTTTCCCTCTTTCTATGTGTCTCGCTCATTTCTTTTTCCCCCTCTCTCTACCTACTTTACTCTCTTCTTTTCCTCTCTCTATCTGTCCCTCTCTCTCCGTTTCCTCTCTCTACCTGCCTCACTGTCTTCGTTTCCCCTCTCTCTACCTACTTTACTCTCTTCTTTGCCTCTCTCTATCTGTCCCTCTCTCTTTGTTTCCTCTCTCTACATCCCTCACTATCTTCTTTTCCCCTCTCTCTACCTACTTTACTCTCTTCTTTTCCTCTCTCTATCTGTCCCTCTCTCTTCGTTTCCTCTCTCTACCTGCCTCACTATCTTCTTTTCCCCTCTCTACCACTTACTCTCTTCTTTCCTCTCTCTATCTGTCCCTCTCTCTTCGTTTCCTCTCTCTCTGCCTCCCTCACTGTCTTCGTTTCCCCTCTCTCTACCTACTTTACTCTCTTCTTGCCTCTCTCTATCTGTCCCTCTCTCCGTTTCCTCTCTCTACCTGCCTCACTGTCTTCGTTTCCCCTCTCTCTACCTACTTTACTCTCTTCTTTGCCTCTCTCTATCTGTCCCTCTCTCTCCGTTTCCTCTCTCTACCTGCCTCACTGTCTTCGTTTCCCCTCTCTCTACCTACTTTACTCTCTTCTTTGCCTCTCTCTATCTGTCCCTCTCTCTTCGTTTCCTCTCTCTACCTGCCTCACTGTCTTCCCCCTCTCTCTACCTACTTTACTCTCTTCTTTGCCTCTCTCCTCTCTGTCCCTCTCTCTTTGTTTCCCTCTCTCTACATCCCTCTATCTTCTTTCCCCCTCTCTCTACCTACTTTACTCTCTTCTTTGCCTCTCTCTATCTGTCCCTCTCTCTTCTTTTCCTCGCTTTATCTGTCCTTCTCTCTTCTTTTCTTCTCTCTTTCTGCTTTACTCTCTTCTTTTCCTCTCTCTACCTGCCTCGATCTCTACTTTCTCTCTCTACCTGCCTTACTCTCTTCTTTTCCCCTCTCTCTACTTGGCTCTCTTTCTTCTTTTCCTCTCTCTATCTGCCCCACTCACTTCTTTCCCTCTCTCTACTTGCCTTACTCTCTTATTTTCCTCACTCTACCTGCTTGGCTGTCTACTTCTATCTCTCTTCCATCTCTCGTTTATTTCTCCTGTTTGTTAAGATATTTTCTCCCTACCCCCAAATTTACGAATCTTCTTGATTACTTCAGAATTTTTTTGAAGTCTTTTAATCATTTACCATTTTTCTTTCATTTCATATTTATATGGCAGTGACCGAAATTCCTTACTAATGAAAAACAAGAACTTGCAATGTTATCGGTCCTGACCTGGCATCTCGAGTTCAGTCACATTCTCACCGCCGTAATGTAGCGTCATAGTGACTTTTCTATAAATATTTCCATAGCAGTTGTTGTCATGAGCTTCTGACTTTTCTACCTCGGTTTTATGAATTTAAGCGCAGTACTCGATTGGCAGTTAGGTCACATCATTGTACTGCTGAAATTCGTAAGTTTAACTGTAAGTTCTATTCAAGTACCTTCTTCTCTCGCATTTCTCAACTGAGGAACTATCTTTCGGATGTTTGCTTTCCTGTCAACTCTAATCTACAAAAAATAGTTTTTCCTTTCCTTCCTTCCTTCCTTCCTTCCTTCCTTCCTTCCTTCCTTCCTTCCTTCCTTCCTTCCTAGGACAATTGCATACCGGACAATTGCGTCTCTGGATATTTACAAATAATTGCATAATTGCGTACCGATGAAAATTTTCTGAAGTTACCATTATTTTAACGATTGTTTTTCTGTTGCTTGATAATTTACTTAGCTTTTAGAAGGCATCTTTCATTATCCCAATGTGCCTTCGGATTACACTGTTGCACTTTCCATCCTATGTTAAAACACTTCCAAGATATTTAAATTATTTCAGTAGTCCAACTTTTAATTTGCATGTTGGGCGTTCATTTTTGTAAAAACCATGCATTCTGCTACGATTCTAAGACAAATGCCTCCCTGGACATTTGTGTCCCTAGACAAATGCGAACCTGGATAATTGCGTACCTCTGATAATTTTGTGAAGCCTTTAAGGGCAATTACCATTAATTTTGAAAAAAAAGCATAGGTTTTAATCATAAATTTTTAAAATAGGAAGAAAATAAAAAAAAAATTAAAAGTTTATTTTTGTTTAAAATGCAATGTCAGATTAACAGTTTTGCAAATCCTTCTACACATCGCCAGTATGGCTTTTGCTTCATCGGGTTTTTTTTTCTTATGATAGTGGTAGCTGTCATTTTCCTCGTTGTCAAATATTTTCCACTAGTGATTTTGGAGCATTGCCAAGGGTTCCAAATAAAAAATGCAATCTATAAAATCCAGAATCTAATAGATGTTTGTTTAACGCACTGCTGGAGTGAACTGAAACTGCGAGCATATATCGCTCTCTCTCTCTCTCTCTCTCTCTCTATATATATATATATATATATATATATATAGATAGATAGATAGATAGATAGATAGATAGATATGAACACAATGTGAAAATTAGATAAAATGGAAAAAACTGAACGTGATAGATAGATAGATAGATAGATAGATAGATAGATAGATAGATAGATGAAGAAGACACTGTGATAGGAAAATAGATAGATAGATAGATAGATAGATAGATAGATAATGCAAAGACTGAAATAGAGAGAGCGAGATATATAAAAACACTGTGATAGATAGATAGATAGATAGATAGATAGATAGATAGATAGATAGATAGATAGATATGAAGACACTGTGATAGGAAAATAGATAGATAGATAGATAATGCAAAGACTGAAATAGAGAGAGCGAAATATATAAAAGCACTGTGATAGATAGATAGATAGATAGATAGATAGATAGATAACGCAAAGAATGAAATATATATATATATATATATATATATATATATATATATATATATATATATAAGCACTTTGATAGATAGATAGATAGATATCAAGTCATTGTGATAGGAAAATAGCTAATGCGAAGACTGAAATAGATAGATAGCGAGAGAGAATGCAAAAACTGAAATTGGCTTCTCATAAACGTGAATGTGAACATATGTCGCTGGATTGGTCTGATAAGTTTCGATTAAGCAATATCGATTTTACTCATGGTTAATCTTAACTCCATTTGTGCCGTACTCACAGATCGGCCATCGATCGTCTGGTTGCAAGGTGCTGCCGCGCATTTTCTCAACACGTCTACATATGTTACTACACTTCAGAACAGTGTCAACCATTATAGTCAGACCTGTTTATATATATATATATATATATATATATATATATATATATATATATATATATAATAATGAATGACTTGCTTAATTTCATGAATTAAGCATAAAGGAGCTCTGCTGCACCAAAAATGGATTTTCCTTCAAAAAAAAAAATAAATTAATGGCAGAGTTGTAATGTTCTGTATTTTTATTTTATTTTATATCTCTTCTCACTATTTTTTGTTTGTTTCCTCATAAAATTCAAAATAATGGAAAAAATACATTCGTTACTCAATAATCATTCAGAAACAGCGTGGAAGCTTTTTCTTTCATTTTTCGTACCTCCTGGCAATTACACACAAACTACAGAAGGGAAAGTTGTAAACATTACAAATTTTTTTTTTTTTTTGCATTATTTTCAAAAACCACTATCAAATTAGATGTCGATATAATATTAACATTCTGAGAAGATAAATGTTTATCTTAAAACTGAAAAAAATGTTTCCAATTTAATAATAGGAAATATTCTGAAAGGTATCTTAAAAATGTACCTTATTTCTGCATTTATGGCTCACCACAACTTCCTATCATTTGTAGGTGTTTTCTACTATCCCTCCCACTTCCTGTTTTGGCATTCAAACATGTTATATATATATATATATATATATATATATATATATATTAACGGCTTCCTTTCAGTTCGCTTAGACAGAAGTTTCTATTATATATATAATATATACAAAGCAGTGTATATAAATAGCAGTATAAATAGTGTTCACACTTCTTCTCTACGCCACTAGTACTTGTATTAGTTTTAGTACATATATTAGTATTTTTATTTGTATTTATATTACTAACTGCATTATTACTTCTCTTAGTATTGTCTATTTCTTTTTTCGAAAGTATTTCAAACATTAAACTCTTTCCTTGATCACCATCAACATGTGGATTGCGAAAGAGCTAAAGAAACCTACCATTTTGTTAGACTCTAGTTTAATCTAGATGCTACGAAAGAACTGTAATACCTGAGGATTAAAAGGAATTTTAAAAAAATGAATAATTTTTCTTGAAAGTCCTTTTTTTTTTTAGTTTTAATTTCAAGCTAATTAATTCACCAATTATCTTCATAGATTTCAACACCCTTTCTTCACATACAGATTTCTAACCTGAACGAGCCAAAAGAGAACAGATGCTCTCGGCGAAATGCGTCGCTAATAAATCTTCCACTTTGTTTCATTATCTTCACACACACACACACACACACACACACACACACATATATTTGTTTGTCTGACGATCGCTAAAGCGTGAAACCCAGGGTCACAAACTCAAATCTATCCAACCAAATATGTTAGCTCTATCTCTGATATTGAGCGCTTTCTAATAAGTACCGCGCATATAATATATAAATAATTATACATACTTATATTTATTTATATTTATATACACTTTTCACATATATATATATATATATATATATATATATATATTATAGTTCGCTACATAAGAGTTCTCATGTTTGAAAAACAAGAGCCGAAAACCTCAATATAATTATTAAAATTAAATTGAATTAAAGTATCAAACCCTGTTTCATCCTCAAGCGAAAATTTTGGAATAACCAATCTTGAAATTTATGCATCTTTATAAGCATGTTCATTCGCAAAATAAGTTACTATGGAAGCGGCTGGGTCGACCATTTTGATAAGGGGTCTGACAGTTAATTTTTATTATTTAATTTCTTTATTATTTAATTATAACTTAAGCTCTACTTCTGTATGGAGCAGTTTTTTAAAGATAAAAACAAAAATACTAAAGAACTCCGGATTATTTACCTAACGTGTTCTTTCCTATTTTTCTACATACCTGCACACACGCACGCACGCACGCACGCACGCGCACACACACACACACGCACGCACGCACACACACACACACACAGAGAGAGAGAGAGAGAGAGTAAAGGTTAGTTAGATCCAGTGACAGGACCCAAAGAGTGTGAGTTCAATACCCGGTTAAGGCAGTGGATAACTTTCAGAGGGCTATTAACAGGAGATAACTGACATCCATTAGACATGGCACGTGGAACTAGAACAGTCTACCCCAGTGAGCGAAATAAAGGGATCAGTTCGACATTCCAACCATCGGAAGAAGACCGGAGCGTTCAACGGCCGAAACGTTGTAATAAATATGGCGACAAAGATGAGGACAATAGTCCGAATAATGTATTTGATTTTTTATTTTACGATTCAGAGAAGATTTTCGTTGACTAAGCCTCCTACTTTGCAAGAAAAAAAAAATAATAATTCTCTAAGGTATTCTGCTTTTAACTAATATAAATATTAAGTGGCACAAAAATTAATTTCTTGAAATTTCATAAAATTAAAGAAGAAATTGGTAACAGATATAAAAATATATTTTTACGAAGATTTTCTAAAAAGAAGAAATCATTTCTGAGATAATTTATTTGTCAATAAGTCCTGGAAGTTTCCTTAAAATCCGACAATTATTTCTTTTTCGTAAGAATTTCCAAACTAAAGTGTATTTAACCGGAAAAGAAACGCCAAAACACTAATCATAATTTTTACGTCAGCCTCTGCTTATAAACAAGATTTTTTAAACCAATATTTCGAACCTGCTAGAAAGGATTAAAAATAATAATAATAATAAAAATATTTTAGTCTTTCCTATTAATGATAACAAGCATTTAAACGATAAAACGTTTCTTGTTTTAATTTTTTTATTAACTTTGGGTCTTTTTTTCATCATACTATGCTGTTATTCAGTGGAGGTACCTAGTTTAAAGTTATAAAAACTTAATAGATCGGTAAAGACAAAAAAGACGCTAAAATTTCTTATACTGACAAAAAAAAAAAAAAGAAAAAAAAATTTTTATCTAAAAATTTCGAACGTTCCAAAAAGAATAAAGAAATATAATTTAATCATAAAATACTATGGT